TTATCTTTACACCCATTTATAGCATTTCCCATGACTGCAAATGCAAGCTCCTTCATGTTTCCATGGTCGCCATCCCCGACACATGCACATACACATGGTCTCTCTATCATCACCAACACCAAGTAGTTACAGTAGTTGTGCATCAAATTCAAGCTGTTAAGTGTTTAATGCTTCAGGGATGTTCAGTCCACGGACGGAGTTTTCAAGAAATGGATGTAATGGCGTGAAGAACAAGCAAGCAAGACCGAGATAGCGGTCAAGAGGTCCAACAGTACCAATGGTTGTTGGAGCAGTAATGATGAAGCTCAAGTGGGTGTTTCAGTTGGGGGATGGAGCGGTTTTATCTCGAAATGGACTTGGGTACTTCCGGTGCGAGGTTTGCGCTGATCGACATGCAAAGGTCTATTCATGCTGAATGAAAGAGAGAGTACCCTTTGTTTTGTTTTTTTTGTTTTTCTTGTTTTTTTTTTTTTGTTTTTTTTTTTTTTTTTGCTTTGAAAAGTTCCACAAACACCAACTTTTGAATTATGTGTTATACGATGCTTGAAGAAATCTCACCTCAGCAGCCTCAAAGTGCACTGAAAGCTTGCAGTTGGAAACTAACATTTTTTTTTTCACCTTGTCTGGTTGCAACTCCTTATCAACAACTAATGTTGCATAGACGATAGAAGCAATTTCCTAGGACTAAAAAAAGCTTGTTTTTCTATATAAAAGTTATAGTGTTTTAGTCGAAATGAACGTAAAATAAGCAAGGAGTCATGGTGGGGTTTAATTATAGTGTGTGAGTTTATTGATAAAATTTACATCTAAAATTTAAGTTGAGCGTAAAAAAATGTTATATGAGTTTAAATAAAATTTTCCGTTATTAAATCTTTCCAGCTATCATCCGAGAAATCTTAAATAGTGTGAAAGTCATGCAACATGTCTAAAACCATCCTAGATCCTACCCATTCTAAATCACACGAGTTTTCATCACATCATGGAACTTAGGTGATGAATGAAGGTCAGTAGAACGTTGGAATTTGGCATCATCATGAAATTCAGGAGGTGCCGATTTTTTAATTAATTTAGACATATGGGCGGATTTTGAATTTGAGATTTTGTCGGGGTAGTCGTCGTCTTTTTGAAGAAGGAAGGGGAGAAAGAGGGAGAAAAAACGAGGATGGGGTGAGTTTGTTTGAAGAAGCCGTTTAGATAAAAAATCACCGGCTTAAAATAATCAGCAACTAAGGTCTCACATTAAAAAATCAATAATAGCATTAAGTTTCATTGGGATTAGACCTGATAATTTTCTACACGACTTGTTAACATGACACGAAAATAACGGGTTTCGAGTCAACACAATAACTAATCGAGTCATTATCGGGTCACCTGTCAATAACCCATTAATAACGGGTTTACACACAAGATAACCTTGGGTAATCCGTTTCAATCCGTTAAAAACAATTATTTTGATAATTTTAAAGTTAAACTAATAAAAAAAGTTATAAAATACAATGGTCATAGTGTAGATATTTTATATTAAATATGTATTATTTATTATTCTAAATAACTTTTAAAAATTAAGTTTTATTTATTTATTTTTATTATGATTGTTCCTTATTATCATATTACTATGATACATTTTACTTGATATGTTGTCTAAATTAAAAATTTTGTCACAAAATACTGTCTAAAAAATATCAACACGACAAGTCATCTTGTGAAAATTCAAGACCAACCACGGGCATATACCTACTAAACCCTATTTAAACTACCCTCGATATCAATTAAAACTTTTTAAGTCTTTGAGTAAGAGAGATTATATTCACATAATTCTTCCACACTCTTTTAATTTTTAATATTTTTCTATCAAGTGTTAGTGGTGTGTCCAAAAAGATTAAAAAAATCAAAAGGTGTGGGGGAAGTAATTTAGTATGTGTGAATATAATCTCAATTTTAAAGGGAACAGGAACTTCCCACTTCACCAAATTGTTGTATGAATGAAGCAAACAGATTAAAAAAAAAACAATTATATTACTGGATAGAAAATCAAAATTGGAGCTTTATGTTATGGATTTGGATCCCATATGGATCACATTCTACCTCTTCATCGACATCGTATATTGTGTGAACATCAATCATTTTGAATTCTTTTTATTTAAAATTAAATACAAACAATACCAAATGAAAGTTGATTGCATGATAAGCGATGAACGGATAAAATGTGAATATTCCTATGATCCTCACAAAAAGAATCCGAAAATGGTCCTCATCCTTATTATATGGGTTCTATTTGCTTATCAGAGAGTTGCATAACAACACAAGACCAATTAACACAACAAAGCAAAAGAAAGGTTTATTTGGGAGAATTGGATACACATCGGGAAGATTGAAACCAAATGAACAAAAATACATAAATCGAATTTATTGCCGAAAAATACCGGAAGATTGAAAGGTGGCGGTGTTACCAATCTAGTGGTGATGGTGGTGGTTTAGGACAACAACCAAATGCCAGGAGGTGATGGTGGTGGTCTTCGTGAAGGTTCAGGACACATGGATGCGCTTTGTTGCAAGAGGTTGGATAGGAGGCGAAGGTGGTGGTGGTGGTGGTGGTGTGGTGTGGTGGTGGTGGTGGTGGTGGTGGTGGTGGTGGTGGTGGTGGTGGTTGTGGAGAATGATTTGGATTTCGAATTGGAATTGGCACTAGAGTAGGTGGTCGCGATTGGGTTTTCGAGAATTCAATTAATTTTTGGATGTTGGAGCAGATTAGTAATTTGGGTTGGATTAACCTGAATTCGTTCATCCCCAACTCGATTTCAAATACAATCGGGCGGGTTAGAATAAGAAAAAAATCCGCCCAAACCCAACCCAACCCAACCTCAACCTCAACCCGATCATTTTGAGTTGGGTTTGGTTGATGTTTCGCCCGCCCATATCAACCCAAACCCAACCTGATTTTGAGCTCGAATTTGCTCATGCACTTGGTACCCTTCCCACTTCATAATGTATAAGCTATATATAAGTTTTGGAATGGCTAAACTTGAAGTTTATTGTCGGTTTTCATATGGATAATGAATGACAAAGTTACTTCTACATTTTTCTTTTGCTTGAACATGTTTCCCCCTCGCCCACAAAAAAAAAAAAAAAAAAAAAAAAAGCTTTACTATGATTAGGGGAGAGGAGAGGGGGGGGGAGAATTCGAACTAATTACAATAATTTAGGGTGAAGGGGAAGAATTTCGAACCCGGAATGTGTAAATGAAAATTTACCTAATATTAACGTTGTTCTGTTCAAAATTTAAAAATTGTGCGAAATAAGGTGTTATAAGGTTGAACTTGATAAAATTGGGCGAATCTGAACCCGACCCGTATAAACCCAAACCCAATTAAAACCCGTACCCGACTAAATCAGGATGAACTCAAACCCAACCGAAGCCCAAAGTGAAAGTTGTTGGACTGAAATTGATTTAACCATCCAACCCGCCCAACCAACCCGAGTTGCAACCCTACTAACACCTCCTTTGCTAGTTCCAGATCATATGCATCAAACAAGCCCCCAAAAGGGTACCCAGGGGCCCATGTAATTGGTGGTTCCATTGGCATGCTAAATATCTAGGCTCAAAATATAAGTAGCCCGGCCCACAATTGAGGCCGACAAAAGCAAAGCAGCAAAGTCAAAGTAGTACAACTACTTAACCCTAATTTCTCTCCTCTCTCTTTGATAGCCGCCGCACTCCTCCCCTGCCTTATTCACTACCAGTTCTTCCTCACTTATTCACAGGCCCGGCCCAAGCACGCAATGCCACTGCTACAATCTGTAAAACTCCAACGCGCAAGACGAAATTTAAAACACATTCACAACAAGCCCACTTCAATTATTACAATTTACATTTTACAGTTGGTTATTGGTTGTCAACATCATATGACACTTAAGATTGTATGAATAGCATTACTCTTTAGAATTTACTTATTACAATTTGAGGCACTGTACCTCACACACTTACTGCCTGCTCAGCTCCTCCTCCTCCTCCTCAGGAAAAACTCCAACTTGGTATGGCTTTTTACTTAATTTTTTTGCACTTATATTGATAATTTTAATCTTTTTGGGAATGGGTATTCTAATTTGTTGAAATTTGTATGGTAATTTGTTCACGTTTGGTCTCTGGAAGAGGGACAGGGACGAGATAGTAGAGATAGAGCTAGTGAATGGATTGTTTATCTTGTTTTAACGTTGAAAATTTGTATAATATTAGACAATATTAGGTTATGGGTTTAGGGTTTAGACAGGAGTTGCAGCAATCTCTTGCTCAATGAACCAAATTACAACAATAGACAGGAGTGCATACTTTTTTCATAAAGCTAGGCCAAATTAGTTAGGAAATCACAAAAATTATTGAGAGCAGGTGAGTTGTGTTTGAGGGAAGAGTCACTCCCTGGGTTGTTGTGGATTGCCTTTCTATCCTTACTGGATGAGATTTGGATATCTAGTATTGGTTTTTTCCTTTGTAAGCTTGAGCTGGATTCCCATAACAACCAAGAAAGCTGCCAACATTAGTGAGCCATTATGGCCTAGTTAATATGGCAGTCCTCTTGTCTGGAGTCCCCTTTCTTCCTGGTTGGATTCCACTATTCTACTCTTGTACTTGCTTTTCCCCAATTTTGTTGTGATTTCAAATGCTTATAAAGATCCATTGTTCTGTTTGCTTTTCGATATTAACTGTTGCAAGCAAGAGTTGATTTGTCTGTGCTGCGAATACGATGCAAGACTCAATTGTTATTCTTATCGCCATGCGGTTTTATTTTATTTTATTGTTTTTAGTGCTGAAGAAGTCGCACTTGGTGCGATGGTAAATGTCTTCGCCCATGAGCGGTAGGTCTCGGGTTCGAGACTTGGGAGCAGCCTCTCCATAAATGGGGGTAAGGCTAGCTGACATTTACCTCTCCCAGACCCTGCGTAAAGCGGAAGCCTTGTGCACTGGGTACGACCTTTTTATTGTTTTTAGTGCTGGATTTGAAGCAATGTCAGTTTTTCAGTGCATAATCAAGTTTCAGCCTGTAAATGTTATAGGTGGAGGAGCTATGCATCGCCAAAGTCGAGCCATATTTGGAGGTGGTGGTGAAGGGATAGGGGGAAGAGAGGGGAGAGAGGTAGGTGCAGTAGGTGGCAGAAGTTGGGCGTGGAAGTTGTTTAGTTGGCCAGTCTTGTCCATCGCAATATACATATTTTTCTTTTTCTTGAGTGTAGACTTTGTTGATTTGAATGAACGCCTTCCGAGTGAACACCCTACTAAGAAATCAGTTAAGGCACTATTCCTCATGTCCGAAACATTGACCGGTGTGGGGTACGGTGACATTGTCCCCAACACTGAGCGGGCCAAGTTGTTAATATCCTTTTTTATTTTCTTCGTCCGTTGGATTTGGTGCAAATCAGGAGGAGTTTTTTTGGTGTCTATTTGTGAAGGTTTTCTCAAACGATTTGGTTTTGTGGTGTGAGTGAGGACATTTTCAGGGTAGTGATGGCAATAGCGGCACCTGCTGTGTGTGTGGGAGTAGGCTGTGTTGGGTTTCACTTGTTGGAGAAGCTGAGTTGGGAGGATGCTTTGTATTTGTCAGTTGTTTCTGCGACCACTGTTGGCTACGGTGAAATTCCGGTAAAGACAGCAAGCACTAAGGTTTTTGCAAGCATTTGGATGTGTTTTTCCACAATTATCTTTATCAAATGTCAGACATACCTAGTTGTTAGAATTATGAGAGCGTTTGGAAGAAATTAAGGCTTTGACATCCGTAGACTCTGACTCTTCTTCTGGGTGCTAGTGTTTTGTTAGGGAAGCAGTTTGTGTAGATGGAATCAGTCTAGTGCTTTCGAGTCGTTATGTGTTATGTTATATCGAGTTCTTCTCATGTAAAGAAATTCCAAATCGCATATAGTTTTCATTATGGTTTGAGTATTGTTTACTTCTTTTAGAATAACTTGTTTTTATTACAAAATGTTGAAACCAAATTTGCGAAAATCATAGTCCCACTGTGGGACCTCCACATGAAAGAACTCGGTAAAAAGCCTTTACTCGAGGGAAAGTAAAACCACATTGGAAATAAAACAACGAGCAAGGAAAATGACGCTTCCACACGCCCAGTAAAAACATCCCAGTAAACAAACAAATCCCCCTCCATGCCATGAACGCGTTGCAACACACCAAATGGAAATGTAATTTTTAATTCCATCTTTTATATTTACTTTTTTAAATACTGTAAAATCAAATATTAATTGAATAGCAGGTCTTATGGAAAACTTTAAAAATCTTGAATGAATACAATCGGATTTTTAGACCATCTCCAAAGGCTAAGTGGAATGTCGCATAATCAAATTTGAATGTAGGAAAAAACTCTAACTGATATGTCAATATGAACCTCTTGTTGTCAAATTTGACATGTGAAAAAAAATTGATGTCAATTAGTTTTCTTATTATTTTATTGTGTGTGTTCTATTAATACACCAATTACAAATTTTAAAATTTTTTTAATTGATTTTTTTTTAAATGAATCCTACAAATATCAATTATAACAAAAAAAAATTTAGAGAAAGAAAAAATATGACATTGTGTAGAAAAATAATTCAAGCTCAAGCACAAAAAATCGAACATACAACTCTGATCAACTGGCCTAATTCACATCAGTCAAAAGCCTATTTGTTTGGATGAGAGCAAATTTGAGTGGGTCTAGAGATTGGGGTGCAAAGTCCACACTTCTCTAGCTCTTACAAATTGGGTCAGTCCACTCAGCAACCCCTCTCTCTCTCTCTCTCTCTCTCTCCCCCTCTCTCAGACGAAAATTCAAATTCTAGCCCTTGCCATGAGAGATTATTGGGACTTCCTACTTTTTTGTTCAATCAAGGACCATGTTTGGAACAAAGTTTACAAAGGGGAAGGCAAATTGATTTCTCAGGGCGGAAGATAAGTGTTGACTGAAGCAACGTGGCAAGCTATACCCTATTATACAATGCTTTCAGTTACTACTTTTCAAGTAGAGAAACTTGAAGAAACTTATGCACGTAAAGAAGTGGGTACTTCACTACTTCAACTGCAATGTTAGAGGTCACTCGTATGGATGCTTTATCTATCAGTTTGATAGGATTAGCAATTTAGCTGCAAAAACATAAACAATGTCTAAAATGCACCTACCAATAGTTATATATATATATATATATAGATTACAATATAATACGCAGGTAAATACAGCAGCTAGTAGAAATTAGAATCATCAATCTCAATCAGGTCAGCAATAACACCTATGACCTCGATAAAAACCTCGGCATGCCCTTGACTGCCCCGCCGTCCCATTCGGTGGGAAAAGATCGCAAGAGAAGCGCGTCAGTTGGGAAGCATCCAATCCAAACAACGTAGTATTATACCTAAAAAAACCCAACAGCTTCAGCCACAGGCTCCCCGACCCATAACAACTTGGGGAGGTGGAGGAAGAGGAGGAGGAGATGATTATATCGTTGGCCGTGTCGGTTCCGACGTACGACCTCGCCATTACCACCGAGAAATCAAGAGTAGTCTGGTTCATCTTACTTACATAGATGGGAGGCAACGGCGCCGTTCCCAGCTTGAGATTGCTGTCGCTTTCCTTGTCGTCGACGTCGCCGTAGAAGATATCGGCTTGAAGGTTCTCGTAATAAAAGTCCAGCTTCCGGTTGGGATTTATAGCAACCAGCGTCAAGTCCCACGTGGCGGTTAAGTAGTCGCTGCTGGATGTGGCGGTGAGTGGGCACGGCGACACGGCTACCAAGTCGACCCGGAACTCAGGGAATTCAGGGCTGAGCTTCGCGTCACGCAATAAAGTCCACGCCAAGGCTGTGGCGAGAATGATTGCCAATAGCGCCACGAAGCAGAAGAAAACAATTTTACAAAGCCGTCCGGCGGAGGAAGACTTTGCCATTCCCATTCGATCAGTTAATTCACTATCCTATAGCCTTATTCTGCAGAAACGATCAGACCAACCGAAGGAGAGAGAGAGGGAGAGAGAGAGAGAGAGATGGGGATGGGATTAAAGCAGAGGGTGTTGAGCATGTAAATAGGTAGGTGTTTCCAAAGCCTAAAGTCGCAAGGGTTTCCAGTTCCAGTTGAACTCGGAGTTTACTGTTTACCCAACATGACCACTCTATTTTTATAAACCTGTTTTGGACCAATTTTAAATAATCTAGTCCTACCAATTTTAATACGCTTTATACCCGTTTATTTATTCATTCTAAAACGTTAATATAATTAGTCAGGTTGCTCTCTCTGTCCTCTTGCGATTCTAGCTAGGTATCGTTCGCAAATCTACTTTTCATTGATATCGCACAATCGTCTCAACTCGTGTATTTATCGAATGTAACAAAATATTAACCCTTAATTTTAGAAATATTTGTTTTTATAAAAAATTTCAAATATATTCAAAATCTTACTTAAATAGACACTGATGAATCCATATTATACCATATATTTTACCCTAATCTTAGTTATAATTTATTAGTTTATTTAGATGAATTTTGATACTTTGTTATGTATTTTCAATGTAGAACATTCGACTTCTTCTGGAGCAAAAAGTGATCAAATAGATAAATTTTGGAGTGATTCCAACTGAAGGATGTTCGTGAGCCTTTCAAGATAATTGTATCAAAGTTTCATATTTTTTTACCAAACCGTTTTACCGTGATGATGAAATAAAGACCCAGCACGAAACGTTTATGTACGTTTTGGGTATTTTAAAGGTCAATATGACATATTTTGAGGAAGATTCCTTCTGAGGATTTGTCAGGGACGGCTCAAGCTTTAAAAAGAGATATTTTGGGACCAAATCAGAGTTGATTTGGTCGGTCAAAAGTCTAATTTTCTGAGAAGTCCGAATTTCAGTTTAAATAGGAAACATTTTATTTCCTAGTTATCTTATTCTATTATATTTCCCAGTTTTTGGAAGACATTTTCTAAGTAGGATTTTATTTTGTAATAGTATAAATAAGGCTATTTAGCCATTAGGAGGGGATCAATTTGGAGAGACGCATTAACTTAGGAGCTTTTGCCAATTCAAGTTTATTTTCAAGGTGTTTTCTATCTATGTTCTTAATAATATTTTGTTTTATGATTATTCGTAACTAGTTTCGTTTGCTAGGGCGAGGTCACGAGCCTTAGCAAGAATATGTAGTTTCTTTTCAATTTACTTATGATGTTATGCATGCAGGTTTTGAATTATTAATCACCGTGTTTATACTATCTAATTGTCCTGATGATTGGCCACCATTTGGATATTTAGAAATATAATTTGATGCAATTTTGACAGAGGGTTGTCCCTAGAATTGGCATTGGCTTCTTGTGGTTAGTATGTGTAACTTCTTAGGATGGACGACACGACTTAAGGGTTATATTGTTTTTCAAAAGGTTTTCACAAAACTTAATAAGTCTTGCATGTTCACATTTGATCTGGGCGCTACGGACGGGTTACATGTTAGATATACGTTCTATGTTGGAGGTTTCAAGTAGGACATACTTTAGGAAAGCCTAACCTTCAAAATATGCATGTGTAAGTCATAAGTAATTGGAAGAACTACGTAAGATTGTTAAGGTGACGACAAAACCCTAGTGTGTAAATAGATTTTCAAAACTATTTTCTTTTGTTTTCTTTACTTTCCAATTTATTTAATTGTTTTTAATTAATTCGTTTTTAATATTTTAGGTCATTAAATCAACCTTTTTCAAATAATTAATTAAGATTTGATTCTAACATAAATTATTCATTCAACCTTTTTCAACCTAGTACTCCATGCAATTAAATGTGTTTATCCTTACTTTTGCAAGTGGTAAAAATACCTATCAAACACAAATACCTAAAACTTTAAAACCAAATAAACTAAAAAATCAAAACCCCATTAGATGAAGGCGAGGAGAGAAATAGCTATTAAAAGTTCCAAGTGCAGCAATCAAATCATCACATCAGAATCAGATGGAAGAAAACCCTGCGAATCCCTCCTCCGACCATTGGTACCATGCATTGGCCTGCAGTAATTAAGCCCCTCTTGTTAATCATCTTCGTAGGCGGCTGGAGCATAATCTTTTACTTCCTGGAGGCGCATGAACACTTTGTTGGGGCTTAAAAAGACTTCACTACTTTGGAGTTGTTTTTCTCACAAAGGAGTATGTAACGCAGCGGAATTGATAGACAAGAGAAAGAAATAATACTCAAAGTATTACACAAGATTTTTATTCACTCACAAACTTAATACAAGAGGAAACACTCAAACACTCTTAGAAGCTTTGTTGCTTCTTCTCACTTCTCACTACTTGCTCTCTTGGTTGTTACAAATGGTGTGGATGCCTTCTCCTTTTATAGGCATGGATGGAACCTTGGAGAAGCATGGAAGTATCATGCTAGAGATATCTAGATAATTCCACTTCCTTCCTAAGTTAGAATTATCTACACTAATCTTGTATGTTGGTTGAATCCTCACCATTCTTCTAGACTCTTCCACCAACTTGAACTTTGCTAGAATTCTCTAGCATGTGCATGGATCTTTCTTTGTGCATGGGCTGGATCCATTATCTTTGGGCCAAGACAAGATTACAATTCAAAATCCCCCTTAATCTTGTCCTGTGACACCGATTGAGTTCCTCAGTCCGATAAAGTCTTCTTGTTTGAGTGGCTTAGTGAATATGTCCGCAATTGGTCTTGAGACTTCACGTATTCCACTTGCACATCCTTTCTTGCAATACACTCTCTTATGTAATGATAGCGGGTATCTATGTGTTTGCTCATGTCATGGAATACTGAATTCTTTGCTAGAGCTATTGCAGACTTGCAATACACTCTCTTATGTAATGATAGCGGCACCTGCTGTGTGAGTAGGCTGTGTTGGGTTTCACTTGTTGGAGAAGCTGAGTTGGGAGGATGCTTTGTATTTGTCAGTTGTTTCTGTGACCACTGTTGGCTACGGTGAAATTCCAGTAAAGACAGCAAGCACTAGGGTTTTTGCAAGCATTTGGATGTGTTTTTCCACAATTATCTTTATCAAATGTCAGACATACCTAGTTGTTAGAATTATGAGAGCATTTGGAAGAAATTAAGGCTTTGACATTCGTAGACTCTGACTCTTCTTCTGGGTGCTAGTGTTTTGTTAGGGAAGCAGTTTGTGTAGATGGAACCAGACTCTTTCGAGTCTTATGTGTTACGTTATATCGAGTCATTCTCATGTAAAGAAATTCCAAATCACATTTAGTTTTCATTATCAATTACGGTTTTAGTATTGTTTACTTCTTTTAGAATAACTTGTTTTTATTACAAAATGTTGGAACCAAATTTGTGAAAATCATAGTCCCTCTTTGGGACTCCCACATGAAAGAACTCGGTAAAAGCCTTTACTTGAGGGAAAGTAAAACTACATTGGAAAAAAAACGAGCAAGGAAAATGACGCTTCCACACGCCCAGTAAAAACATCCCAGTAAACAAACAAATCCCCCTCCATGCCATGAACGCGTTGCAACACACCAAATGGAAATGTAATTTTTAATTCCATATTTTATATTTACTTTTTTAAATACTGTAAAATCAAATATTAATTGAATAGCGGGTCTTATGGAAAACTTAAAAATCTTGAATGAATACAATCAGATTTTTAGACCATCTCCAAAGGCTAAGCGGAATGTCGCATAATCAAATTTGAAAGTAGGAAGAAACTTTAACTGATATGTCAATATGAACCTTTTGCTGTCAAATTTGACATGTGCAAAAAAGGTTACTGTCAATTAGTTTTTTTATTATTTTATTGCGTGTGTTCTATTAATACACCAATTATAAATTTTAAAATTTATTTTAATTGATTTTTTTTAAATGAATCCTACAAATATCAATTATAACAAAAAAAATAGAGAAAGAAAAAAATGACATTGTGTAGAAAAATAATTCAAGCTCAAGCACAAAAAATCAAACATACTACTCTGATCAACTGACCTAATTCACATCAGTCCAAAATCAATTTGTTTGGATGAGAGCAAATTTGAGTGGGTGTAGAGATTGGGGTGCAAAGTCCACACTTCTCTAGCTCGTACAAATTGGGTAAGTCCACTCGGCAACACCCCCCCCCCCCCCCCCCCCCTTCCCCGCTTCTCTCTCTCTCTCTCTCTCTCTCTCTCTCTCTCTCCCTCTCCCTCCCTCCCCCTCCCCCCCCTCCTCCTCCTCTCTCAGACGAAAATTCAAATTCTAGCCCTTGCCACGAGAGATTTTTGGGACTTCCTATTTGCTTAGAGAAGGATAAGCGGAAACTTTTTTGTTCAATCAAGGACCATGTTTGGAACAAAGTATACAAGGGGGAAGGCAAATTGATTTCTCAGGGCGGAAGATAAGTGTTGACTGAAGCAATGTGGCAAGCTATACCCAATTATAGAATGCTTTCAGTTACTACTTTTCTAGTAGAGAAACTTGCAGAAACTTATGCACGTAAAGAAGTGGGTACTTCACTACTTCAACTGCAATGTTAGAGGTCACTCGTATGGATGCTTTATCTATCAGTTTGATAGGATTAGCAATTTAGCTGCAAAAACATAAACAACTAAATAAAAACAATGTCTAAAATGCACCTGCCAATAGTTATATATATATATATTACAATACAATACGCAGGTAAATACAGCAGCTAGTAGAAATTAGAATCATCAATCTCAATCAGGTCAGCAATAACACCTATGACTTCGATCAAAATCTTGGCATGCCCTTGACTGCCCCGCCGTCCCATTCGGTGGGAAAAGGTCGCAAGAGAAGCGCGTCAGTTCGGAAGTATCCAGACCAAACAACGTAGTATTATACCTAAAAGAACCCAACAGCTTCAGCCACAGGCTCCCCGACCCATAACAACTTGGGGAGGTGGAGGAAGAGGAGGAGGAGATGATTATATCGTTGGCCGCGTCTGTTCCGATGTA